ACATCCTCATGTATACTTAAATATTACTTATTACAGAATATGTATTACATTTTATGAGTAGAGAAAGTGTTCATGTATATTCAGCATAATTATTCATCACATGCTTTGTGCATTATTTTTTCATTACCTTGTACTAAAACAATCTTCTGACGACAAAGTTTTCGCATATCTGCTAATATGTTTTGTTCCAAGTGTCGGTATTTTTTGTTTTAACAATCCCTAAATAACCTAATGGGATTCTAGAATAACTCTACAGGTATTTGCGCAATTTAAAAATATGTTAAAAACACAAACGTGAGAATACAATTTGGTAGTGAGAGAAACAAATATTCTATAACTATTGCGAATATGGTATTATGGAAGTTGAGAAACAGACCTACGAAGAAAGCATTAGCAATGTGAAAGTAGAATTACATAATTTCTAAATGTAACTGTTCTAAATGTAACTTCCTTGGCGTCATCAATCAAAATACGCGCTGATAGCAAAAAGCGGTAAGTCCAGTCGTGCTATAGATAGAAGATGACCTGGCAGCGTGCAGCGCATTTTTGTAATGTCTCACAGTTACAGCTAGACGTAGATACCCCGTTTGCAAGGACAGAGGAGGTACTCGAGTGAAAAAGATGGCTTTTACCAGAGGAGACTACACGATGTATGATAAGCTTGGTAGCGGGACATTCGGGACCGTGTTCAAGGCTAAGAAGAATGGACGGGGAAGTTTCTTTGCAGTGAAGTGAATCTCCCTAAGAGACGATAATGTAGACAGGGAACTTGACTCCCAAAGGGCGTTACCGAGGTGTAGGTTTGTTGTCTCACTGGTCGACCATTTCGTCACAAGTAGGAACATCTATCTGGTCTTGGATTATTGCAACAGCGGGACACTTAACGACTATATAGCAGAATACAGAGTTCCAAAACAACTTCGACTGAATTTCATGCAGGACATGATCAAAGGTTTAAAACATCTTCACCATCACGCCATCGTCCACAGGGATATCAAACCGGATAACATACTACTGCATACTCGAAGAGGCAGAAGACCAATCTGTAAGTTGTCTGATTTTGGCCTGGCTCGTTACAATGGGAGCGAAACGGATTCCTATTACGAAAAGGACTACTACCTTCAGACTGATTGTGGTACAATGTATTATATCGCCCCAGAAGTCCTGACCAGACATTATACTGAGGCATGTGACATATTCTCCCTGGGTGTGGTGTTCTATGCCACGTACGCTGAAGAAATGATGGAAGACTCCACCGGTGAAACTCTGATTGCGACCGTCGACGACGATACCCCTTTCCACCAAGCGTCCAATAAGACCATCAGAAGGAGGGTGGACTGGGCCGTAGAAAACAGGGCTGTTGCTGACTGTATCAAAGACATGGTTCAGAAGGACTATCACAAGCGGGTGGACATTGATAAGATGGATGAGAACTTCAGGATGGCTACTACATAGTGACCCTATGATCGATGATACCTTTGACATGCTCTGGAGTGACTATGTATTTATTTATGTCTTTGTATTTAATGAACATTGCTAATGTATCATACAACTCATGAGGGATCTTTCTCTCATTTCAACGTATTTTTCGGAAAACAAACGGGCTATTTTCCACGCTTACATACGGAGATGCGGAGATGTCACTATGATCCAGTGTATCCAAGTCAGTAACGACTATCATGATGTATGAATATTTAATTGGACCAAAGTATTATTAGTCCATATTATTCCGAATGTGTAAGACAAACGACCATTGCGGTACAGCTAAGTCTTCTGCGAATACACACAAATATGGCCTCTGGTCACTCATATCTAGTGAGTTTGCTGGATACAGGAAACAGATTAATTCCTTTTTGTCTGTCCTCACGAAGATTAGTATGATATATTATCTTGTTTTTTTTATATTATTGGACAACTCTGAAGCACGCGGAGTTACACGAAGGAGTAACGCGCAGGAAGCCACTAATTACTTTCTTCGTTAGTTGTCCGAAACCGAATGATATGGGGACAGTGTAGGGGGCAGTTTAACTGTCGGAGTGAAGATACGACTCGGGCCATGTAACCAGAGACACATCTAAAGTTAAGATTAAGAAGCATGGGATTCGTAGATCCAAGTAGAATAGACAACAAGGTGCAAGCCCTGTACACTGTCACTAAGTGGTTGTGTATTTAGGTATTTCTTTACGAAATCTTGAGACAATCAAGTGAAACAGTGGATAAGGACATTGATGACTGTATCAAATATCGTGACGTGGGAAAGGTTAGGGGATAAATCGACGAGCAAAGTCTGAAGTTTGCGTCACAGACAGGCCGTAGGTCACTGCGCTCCTAGACATTCAGATTTACTTACAGAACGGTTGCAAAGTACCTGGATTGTCAGTTATAACTGTTTGAAATAATAAGCTCAATGAAAACGATTCTGAACGTTGGTTGTTCCTGTTCGGCCGTCACCTTCGACAGAAGTTCCAAAACAAAGAACCGTGTTTAAAACTAAGTTTTAAAGTTTAACAACAGACTTGGAAGTTTCATAAATTGATCAAAGATGTTGACGGTTCGTCGGATAGCGAGTAATATTTAAGCTTTTACCAAAAATGTATGGTATCACATTTCACCAGCAGGAACAGTGTCAGGGTAACATCTGATAACATCTCTGACGTATTTTAGCATGAAACGGCATGGCTGGGGATCGCGTGAAGAGAACCTGTGCACTAACAAGGGTCCACTATCATATGTCGACCAATGATAGCAAAGTCCCATGGCAATATTGCAAATACTTCACGGATTCGCATCCATTCGTATTCATAAAAGTGAATATACCTATTCGTTTTTATTTACTTTTTAATTTCTCTTTTGTATTTTGCGTATGAAGGTGTTTATTACAGAGGTATGCTGAATGTTATCAGAATTGGGTGTCGTGTTGTAACCTTATGTGACCTTGTGTGACATTTTTATTGAAATTATAGAAACTTTTTCTTATTTTCATAAATCATACATACATACATACATACATACATACATACATACATACATACATACATACATACATACATACATACATACATACATACATACATACATACATACATACATACATACATACATACATACATACATACATACATACATACATACATACATACATACATACATACATACATACATACATACATACATAGGTATGTTGAATGTTATCAGAATTGGGTGTCGTGTTGTAACCTTATGTGACCTTGTGTGTCATTTTTATTGAAATTATAGATCATTATGACATACATACATACATACATACATGCATGCATGCATGCATGCACGCACGCACGCACGCACGCACACACACACACACACACACACACACATACATACATACATACATACATACATACATACATACATACATACATACATACATACATACATACATACATACGTCATTGCAGAACATGTGCACTCTACATGCAAATTATGTACAATTCTACCATGATGTATCGATATCACTATACTGGAGCAGACCATTTGTCAATGTTTCCATTTTCAGTTCCATGACCTGTGAATATGTCTGGAATAACATTTTGAAAGCGCACTGTATAATCATTTGAATAAAGCATTGCATATCTATTTTGCCTGACTACCTAATTACAAAACACCACCTTATCATCAGTTTGACCTATGCGTTTCTTCTTATACGGCGCTTATCATAGTTATTAATGTGATTTTGCCTGAAGTGTTTAAGAAACGATATGTGTTGCATTTTCGGTGTCTTGAATACTCCAAATAGTAGCCAATATATGGCTGAAACGGTGAATTCAAATTATGAGAGTGTATACATTGTGCTTGGATTTCCAGATTTCTAAAGTGGTTTAACAGCGGATGTTGAAAAAGTGAAGAATCATTTATCAGAACTTATCATTTTGCTGACATTCAAAATTGTGCACCACATTTCTCTTCCTTAGTATTAAAGTTATTGCGACATTGTCAGTCGTGGTCACACATTGTAGCTGTCTGATTACCTGCATGTATCTGGTTACCTTCCTATCTATCTAGTTACCTTCCTACCTATCTACCCACCAGATCAGGTCACAGACAAGACACATATCTGTCTAACCCCCAACACAAATGATTATGAACCGGATGTATAGTAATTAAAGTGAGTGAGTGACCTTTGTTTTAAGCCGCACTCGGCAATATTCCAGCTATATGGCAGCGGTCTTTAAATAATCGAGTCTGGACTAGACAATCCAGTGATCAACAGCATTGACATCGATCTACGCAATCGGGATATGATGAAATGTGCCAACCACGTCAGCGAGCCTGACCACCCGATCCCGTTAATCGCCTCTTTTGACAAGCATGGGTTACTGAAGATCAATTCTAACCTGGATGTTCACGGGTTACAGTAATTAAAGTCACATTACACACCAGACAGGTATTTATGTGACAACCGCTCGGGTTTCATTTTACCCCGAGTGATATTGGAGACGAAGAATGCTCACTGCAATTGTTTTGACTGGCATTCCACACTCACGATGGCAGGCCTAGCAAAATAAAAGACGCAAATACCATAGCCAAACCGTCTTATACATCTACGTTTGTTACATCTACATACTTGAATGGACATTACTCATTACAGAATATGTATAGCCTCAGCTTATAAGCAGCAAAAGTGTTAACGTATTCAATACATACGTTGTGCACTATTTTCCAACACCTTGAAATCCAAAGTACTGAATCAAAACAACTTTCAGCCCAAAAATATGCATATATGTTTCATTGTACGTTTCAATATTGGTTTTCTTTTGATGCATCTGTAAATATTCTTATGATTTTAGAATATCTTGAGATGTAAAAAAGTTATAAACGCAAAAGTGAGATTAGAGTTTGGTAGTAACAGAATCAAAATAATGTAAATTTCTATTGCGCATATGGTATCCTGGAAGCTGCTAAACAGACCTACCAAAAAAGCATTCGCAATATGAACGTAGAATGACATAATTTCTAAATATATCTGGTCCACCCTTCGCGTCATCAGTCGAAATAAACGGGAAGTCCAGTCGTGCTATAAATAGAAGATGAGTTGGCAGTGAGACAGCATATAAAATGTCTCACCGTTACAGCCAGACGTAGATACTCCGATTGCAAGCACAGAGGCGGTACTCGAGTGAAAAAGATGCCTTATACTGTGGGAGACTACACGTTTTATGAGGAACTTGGTAGCGGAGCATTCGGGACCGTGTTAAAGGCTAAGAGGAATGGACAGGGACGTTACTTTGCAGTGAAGCGAATCTCCCTAAGAGATGATAATGTAGACAGGGAACTTGACTCCCAAAGGGCGTTACCGAGGTGTAGGTTTGTTGTCGAACTGGTCGACCACTTCTTCTCAAGTAGGAACATGTATCTGGTCTTGGATTACTGCAACAGCGGGACACTTAACGACTACATGACAGAATACAGAGTTTCAAACAGACGTCGGCTCAGTTTCATGCAGGACATGATCAAAGGTTTAAAACATCTTCACCATCACGCCATCGTCCACAGGGATATCAAACCGGATAACATACTACTGCATACTCGAAGAGGCAGAAGACCAATCTGTAAGTTGTCTGATTTTGGCCTGGCTCGTTACAATGGGAGCGAAACGGATTCCTATTACGAAAAGGACTACTACCTTCAGACAGGCTGTGGTACGATGTATTATATCGCCCCAGAAGTCCTGACCAGACATTACACTGAGGCATGTGACATATTCTCCCTGGGTGTGGTGTTCTATGCCATGTATGCTGAAGAAATGATGAAAGACGGTGAAACTCTGATTGCGACTGTCGACGACGATACTCCTTTCCACCAAGCGTCCAACAAGACCATCAGAAGGAGGGTGGACTGGGCCGTGGAAAACAGGGCTGTTGCTGACTGTATCAAAGACATGGTTCAGAAGGACTATCACAAGCGGGTGGACATTGATGAGCTGGATGTAAACTTCAGGATGGCTACGTTGTAGTGACCCTATGATCGATGATACTATTGACATACCCTGGAGTGACTATATATTCGTGTATATTATTGTACCTGATACGGAGATATTACGTTGATCCAGTGTCATTCGCAGCTATCACGATGTTTGTTCGTGAACATATAATTGGACCAAAGCATGATTATTCCATATTATTCCGAATGTGTTAACAGCCTGTACCATAAACGACCATACTGTCCAGCCAAGTCTTCCGTGATTACAGTCACACATGAGTAGTGAGTTTGCTGGATTAAGGAGACAGATTAATTCCTTTGTTTGTTCTCGCGAAGATTAGTATGGTATACCATCTTATTCTGGAAAGGCTTTTTATTGGACAACTCTAAAGCACGCGAAGTTACACGAAGACAGCACAGAGGCGAAGTGGTGGAAGCTACATGGTCAGATGATTAAACATGACAGAAGATGGATGGGACTGGACCGAAATACATTACAAAGAAAGAGTAAACAAATTGTTTCTGTCCTCCACGAGGTAAACTCGTAGGACCGAAAAGGTAGATCCCGACGACCCCTTAAATCCAGAAGTGGTCAGCAGAAAGAGGGAGAATTTAGGACGAAACGGCAAACATCACCGAAGAGTCGATGACGGATAGCCAGAATCACCTTTCGCCTCCTGTAAACAAACCTTTCTGGTTAAGAAATATGTTGTGTTACATTCATTCTCGAAAGCCCTGAAAGGAGTGTTGTATTTGTACATGTCCTTGGTGGATGTACTTTCTCTTTTGACCTGCCTTATGTAACCAGGTATTACACTCCCGGTATATTTTAATCAGAGTAAATAACAGATCATGTTGAGCTTGTGCATTCGATGTAATCCTATATTTGAATTATTTTATGTCAATTGTAATCGGAGGAATCTGTTATATGTAACTATAAAGTGTAACTGTTCAGGGAGCGCAGGTGGCCACTAATGACTTTATATTAATTAGCTGTCCAAAACCGAAGGACATGGAGACAGTGTAGGGGGACAGTAGTAAATCTTGGGGAAATGTGAAACGTCAAGGGTGACAGAGAGCACCGACCTGATTGATGACAGATTAAACTGTCGGGGAGGAGATACCATTTAACCAGAGACAGATCTAAAGTTAAGATTAAGAAGTATGGGATTGGTAGGTCCAAGTAGAATAGACAACAAGGTGCAAGCCCGGTACACTGTCACTTAATCGTACATGAAATCTAAGACTGTCGGGTGAAACTGTCACGATCTGCACATTGATGCACATTACATACAGACTGGTGCTAAGTACCTGAGTTTTCTTTTGTAACTGATATAATAAACACTATCACACCGATTCTGAAAGTTGGTTGTTCCTGTTCAGATGTCACCTTGGAGAGAAGTTCCAAAACAAAGAACTGTGTTACACAATATTCAAAATAGATATACTATTATCAAAACTCAATTTCAAAGTTTGAATAACGTACTTAGACGGGTTTTTCCATAAATTGATAAAGGATGTCAAAGGAGAGCGAATATGATGGAAGCACCTTTATCAATAGTTTACAGTATCACATTGGACTGGCAGGAACCGAGTCAGGGTAACAGTGCGCACCATCTTTGATGTGATTTTTATTAAAAAGGCAAGCGCTAGCATCGTGTGAAGAGCCCCTTTGCATAAACACCAAGCTTACACCATCACATGTCGGCCAATGATAGCAAAGTGTACAGTCACGTAAACACTTCACGGATATATATACATACAAATTAGTTCATTTGAATAGAACATTGTACTTTATTACAAAACACCTCCTAGTATCATCAATATCATCTATGTGTTCCATCTGTTGCGGAGTAAATGTTTTTGATTAACATTCGCATTGTCTTGAATATTCAAAATATTGGTAATGATTTAGATGACTTTGTGAATTGGAATATGAGGAAGAATAAAATTTTGAAAGGTGTTTCCACATTTCTGAAATGTGTAACCAATAGATGAATAGAACGTGTATAAATCCTTTGTGAGAAATTACAACATGAACCAGTGAGATTACCAAACTTCCTTATTTTGAGGGTCGCACATTCTGTCGGAAGAAAGCTATGCCCCCGGTAAACCCATTCTTTAACGGCAGATCCAGCAGCCTCGACTTACACTCTGGTATGGAATGAAACTCATTATTTCTGGTTTGTTTGCTGGGATGTATACAGCCTGCCCTGATAAGACGAAAGTATGTCTGGTGAGCGGCGGAAATCCCTTTAGTCTCAGAAAACAGATTCTGGACGACTTTGTTCCAGGATAAGGCCCCTGAAACGATTCGTGTGCCGTATTCTGTCGTATATCGTTCGGTCACTTGATAGAGACGCAGTCACGGCTTTTTGTCTCAACAATATCGTCGTCACTTACGTCATTGTCTTTGCCCAGACACATAGATGTACCTATCTACCTACATGAACCTTCTACCCACATGTACCTTCCACCTACACGTGCCTTCTACCCACATGTACCTTCTACCTACATTTACCGTCTGCACACATGAACCTTCTACCTACATGTACCTTCTACCTACTATACTTATCTAACTACATGAACCTTCTACCCACATGTACCTTCCATCTACATGTACCTTCTAAGCACATATACCTTCTACCTACATGTACCTATCTAACTACATGAACCTTCTACCCACATGTACCTTCCACCTACACGTGCCTTCTACCTACATGTACCTTCTACCTACATTTACCGTCTGCATACATGTACCTTCTACCCACATGTACCTTCTACCTACATGTACCTATCTAACTACATAACCTTCTAACTACATGAACCTTCTACCTACATGTACCTTCTACCTACATGTTCCTTCTACCTACATTTACCTTCTATCTACATTTACCGTCTGCATACATGTGCCTTCTACCCACATGTACCTTGTACCTACATGTACCTTGTACCAACATGTACCTTCTACCGGCATGTACCTATCTAACTACATGAACCTTCTACCTACATGTACCTTCTACCCACATGTACCTTCCACCTACACGTGCCTTCTACCCACATGTACCTTCTACCTACATTTACCGTCTGCACACATGAACCTTCTACCTACATGTACCTTCTACCTACTGTACCTTCCACCTACATGTACCTTCTACCCACATGTACATTCTTCTACCTACATTCTACCATGTTCTATGTACCTTCATTTACATTTACCGCATACATGTACCTTCTACCCACATGTACCTTCTGCCTACATGTACCTTCTACCCACATGTACCTTCCACCTACATGTACCTTCTACCTACATTTACCGTCTGCATACATGTACCTTCTACCTAAATGTACCTTCTGCCTACATGTACCTTCCACCCACATGTACCTTCCACCTACATGTACCTTCTACCTACATTTACCGTCTGCATACATGTACCTTCTACCTAAATGTACCTATCTAACTACATGAACCTTCTACCCACATGTACCTTCCACCTACATGTACCTTCTACCCATATGTACCTTCTACCTACATGTACCTTCTAACTACATGAACCTTCTACCTACATTTACCTTCCACCTACACGTACCTTCTACATACATGTACCTTCTACCTACATTTACCGTCTGCATACATGTACCTTCTACCTACATGTACCTATCTAACTACATGAACCTTCTACCTACATGTACCTTCCACATACACGTGCCTTCTACCTACATGTAACTTCTACTCACATGTACCTTCCACCTACATGTACCTTCTACCTACATGTACATTCTACCCACATGTACCTTCTACCTACATTTACCGTCTGCATACATGTACCTTCTACCTAAATGTACCTTCTACCTACTATACCTATCTAACTACATGAACCTTCTACCCACATGTACCTTCCACCTACATGTACCTCTCACCCACATGTACCTTCTACCTACATGTACCTTCTACCCACATGTACATTCCACCTACATGTACCTTCTACTCACATTTACCTTCCACCTACATGTACCTTCTACCTACATGTACCTTCTACCTACATTTACCGTCTGCATACATGTACCTTCTACCTAAATGTACCTTCTACCTACATGTACCTTCTACCCACATGTACCTTCCAACTACATGTACCCTCTACCTACATGTACCGTCTACCTACATTTACCGTCTGCATACATGTACCTTCTACCTAAATGTACCTTCTACCTACATATACCTTCTACCCACATGTACCTTCTACCTACATGTACCTTCTACCCACATGTACCTTCCACCGACATGTACCTTCTACCTACATGTACCTTCTACCCACTGTACCTTCCACCTACAGGTGCCTTCTACCTACTTATACCTTCTACCTACATTTACCGTCTGCATACATGAACCTTCTACCCACATGTACCTTCTACCAACATTTACCGTCTACATACATGTACCTACCTACATGTGTCTTCTGTCAACTACCTTCCAACTACCTATCTACCTGCGTGTACTTAATACATACATGTACCCACCTGCCTACATCCACATACATCTACATATCGAGGTGTACCTTCAACCTACATGTAACTATCTGCCTACATCCGCATGAGAGACACAAGGGCCTGTGCTATTAGAAATTCTATTATATGATTATTCTACCAGCTCACTGAATGCTAATATCCATGTTTTAAAAAACTGAATGAATGATTACAGCAGAATGAATATGTTTACATATTGTATCTATGATTTGTATATAGGCCGATGGCCTTTCATGCAATAAACGCTTTGACTTTGACTTTGGCTATTGGGATGTATTTCAGTGAACATTCAACAGACTCCACATTAATCAGGATGTGTGGAGATGCATGTGAAGTAGCTGTCAAGTCAACTTGAAGTCTTTGTGAATACTGTATCACATGTAGTGAGGCTGCTTGACGAAGGACACAGGTCATGTCAAGTAAACGATCACAAATTGTGTATTCTATATTCTTGTTCTGGACAGACTATTTACTGTACTGTATCAGTGCAGTGAACAGAATTGATACATGACCTCTCGGTTCAGAAAGACATTATAACCCGCTGTCACTGCTCAGAAGCCAGACAACAACTATATGTACAGAGGGTTAAATATGAGAGGATAGCCAAAGCCACCTTGTACTTTCAGTAAATAAATCTACTTCCTGGTCAAGGAAACGTGTTGTGTTACATACATTTCGGCAACAAAAGAGGTAGTGTTTTCTTAATGGTATCAGAGAACTACATATTTCAGATACTAAAGCCTTATTAAACATATTTCCCTCTAAATGTACTCTAAATATATTTATGTTCTGTAATCAGACATGTCTACATTAAAATGATATATCATGAAGGAAACTACGTTTCAATGTTTGAAGAACACAAATAGAAGAATTTTAAGTTTCCCTAAATCGCTCAGTGATACAGTGTGAGGGCCGGTATGATATTATGCCTCTCTCAACTATTGTATACCGGCCGTATCATATTGCACCAGTGGGGATACTGATGAGGTGTTATGATGTGTGTGTGTGTGTGTGTGTGTGTGTGTGTTTATGTGTGTTTGTGTATGTGCGTGCGTGCGTAGAATAAAATCGTGACACATGCGAACATACAACTGACATAAATTTCAGTTATGAACAGAACATAAGGTTTCAGCAAAATTCAAGCGGTCTGTATGTAATCGAGTCTGGACCAGACAATCCGCTGATCATGAGCATCAATATAATTATACAATCGATCTTGTTTGACTATTGCTTTTTCTATCACAAGGGATCAATATTTTAAATCATCATCTGAGAAGGATTTTACTGATATTGATTCTCATTTAATACTTGGATTTTGATTTAAATGAAATTGATAAATTTGATCATGTACTGTAATTATTAAGTAAATTTTTAGATTTCGTCGAATGAGTAACCATGATTGTTAGTGGCTGTACCCTCTTAGGGGGTTGCAGTAGTGTAAAATAATTGTCCTCCGGAGAGGGTACATGCATGCAAGACCACATAATTAAATGTATGTTTATCCTTGCCAGGGTTGTAATCGTATAATATATGTTGTTTTAAGTTTGACTAAGTTTGCTGATAATCGCCAGTTGCTGTATGGATGGTATGCTGGGGTCAATGCAGGTAGCATAGGTACTGTAAGTCCCCATGGTCCTTAGTAAGGTAATCTCCTTTCAGGTGCTGGCGATCTATAGCCCGTTTTTATGTTGAATATTTAAATTTGAAGATGATATGTTAAGTGATTACAAACTAGTTTTAAACAACATGTGATCTTCTACTTGCTTTACAGTCCTTTGTTGACTGGATTCTATTATAACATCATGTAGTTATTATGTATGTAGAACTATTCTAGTCACAGTATGGCTGAAACACTGCCAAAATGACATAAATCTTAACTCAACCACTCTCACACTCACTACACTGAATATATGTATGTGCAGCTTTATAGTATACTCATCACATTTCTTGATAGACGCCGATCGGAGTTCCTCCTTGTAACGCCAGAGCAAGGGTTTCTCCCATCTTGTACTTGGCGTATTGAGTCGAGGGCTATGCATGACCAGACAGTTGTTTCGTCTTTCTGTTATGTGCTATATTTATACATGTACTATAGTTTCGTATTATCTATGCATAATCTAAAAAATGCAAGATTTATGGATGTCAACTTTATTGTGAATAGCACGGCGTTTCTGAGTGTATGCTTGCTCCTTCATCAGGTGAATGGCTGGGATTATCAAGTGGACACACACACACACACACACACACACGCACGCACGCACACGCACACATATTTGAAGCACTACAAATAAAACATGAATAACAATGCTGAGTAATGTATATGTAATACAAACATATGAGGCCAGTGATCTATAATCCATTGCCGCTTTTACAATATTCCAGCATTGCATAATCTATAAGATGAATGAGATTATTGAAGTGATTAGTTTGCTCACAATTATGCCAAGAAAGAATACTATAAGTTTCTTAGTAGTAGTGAAATATATAGAACGTCAGTGTAAAAGGATACCAAGTCTTGACTATCCTGAGAAATGAAAGAACAATTTGTGGTGAACACAATGGCAAGACGTCCCGATGTTTGTGAAATAGTGATTGTTTGATGGTGCCCTATAAGTAGTTTGGTGGGAACAGCTGGGTAAAAATAGAAAATTATTATACTCCAAACCATAACCCCCAACCCCTTCAACTCGAATGAATGCTCCCTTATCGCCAAATGATGGATGATCCTAGTCTGTCGTACAGACCCTGAAATAAATATATCCAAGAAAGCCCACGCAAGTCTAGAAAATGTGGCAAGTCTAGATTTCCTCAGCTTCTGAAAATGAAGAAAGTCTCAGGGCTCCTTTTCATTATATATATATTTTTTTTACTATGAACTTTTTTTCAGTAAAATATGTTCATTTCAGAGACTAGTTGTTAGTCTAGGATGATCCCTATCCCCAAAGATCGCAATGGATGGCTCCTTTTGAGCAGGGCTTGTTCACTGTACTGAGTACACTGCCGGAGACGTTTGTCTTGTCTATGATTTCAGGATGTACTATATATTGTCTTTATTGGTTTACGCCGCGTTTACAATATTCCAGCAATATCACGGCGCGAGACACCAGAAATGGGCTTCACACATCCTACCCAAACGAACCTGGGTCATTGGCGTGACGATCGAACACTTTAACCACTAGGCTACCACACCACCCCTTACATTTCATACATATATATTTCCTTCACATACTAACAATAACTATGAAATTATTATATACGAGCACATCAATAATCCTATACACTCTCGTAAGTACATCACGCATTTCGACTAAAATAGACAGCAAGACATAGAGACATAGAGGCCAGGACACAAAAACAACTCGTTATATCCGTCAGTTCGTTATAAGCGTGTTCGTTAGAAACGTAGTTTACTTTACATATTGACCCTTTCGATTAAACACACGGATTATATAGAACAGTTTAGGTCATGACATCCCAAACGGGTCTGATCAGAGCGTGTCTCCGTCAAGTAGAGAAAATACGGTAAACCGTTCTCAGTGCAAATGAACTGACTACCAGGTCGCCACGATCCTTACTTCACCTCGACGCGGAGAGACGACAACAAACATTCCTCGTCTCGGCTGTGCTCACGTCCATCGTGTGAAGATGAGAGTATGCATGAATCTGGCGTTATTTCTGCTTTTCACAACGACAGCAGTAAAAGGCAAGTTGATTGTTCATTGAATCCGTAGATTTGATATCGACCAGTGGCAATGGGCATGTACACAATGTTACCTTGACCTTGTGTGTTTATATGGCGCGGCCTGGTCGGTCCGCCTCGATCTGGTTGATAACATTTCATATGAAACTGATACAGTTCTGGTGCTGTTGTATAACGAGGAGACACGGTTGAGGTTTATCGTCCAGTTTTAAAGAAACCGTTTCAATAAATAGAAGTGCTGAGTTCGTCCATACTGATATCTGTACCGAATGACTGTTTCTATTTATAGCAACATGACACGAAACCGTTAGGCTTGATTTACACATGAAACCAGAGACCACACAATGCCATCTCTTATCTCTGATGAAACAAACACTGGATAATACTGTCCTTATTATGATCATTAATGTAAAGGCGGGGTAACATTATTGACAGCTGCTGCTGCTGATGATGCGGAAACGAAATTTATGAAGATGATAATGAAAATATTAAATTTCAACATCCCATGAAACTGTTAAATGTATGGTTTGTACAATGGCAGTCTTTGTTTTGTAAAGTCTTGGTATAACAATAACGTGATATTTATTTGTCAGCCCAGTCTTGCGACGCCGACCTCCAAGCAACATCCGAGAGAATGTTGAAGTCGGCTGTCGTTGGAAGGTAAGCCAGTGTATATGAAACATCAGCTATGCTTTGGCTCGGAAATACACTAAATTACTTGATGTACACAAATTACCCACTTGATGCATACAAAAACGATAACAGCTATATATATTGCGTGAGTACTAAAGTCCTAACAATTGTTAATATGTAATTAATATGTGTATCAAAAGTAAAAACGATATTATTCCGAAAAACTTACATGCAGATGGATGTGTGTGTGTGTGTGTTTTGTGTGTGTGTGTGTGTGCGCGCGCGCGTGCGTGTTTATGGAGCGGCGAGGCTGGTTTTGATGAGCTTAGTCTTGAGGCTATATAACATTTAACGGCCGTATTTTCATGAAGCATGTACTCCCTTTGCTATAATATATAACCACTCCCCAGATGAGGTCAACTATAAGCTTGATAGACCCACTGCCCCGCCCCTCCCCTGTAACTAATGACTATAGTGTAGTCATACATAGGAGCCCTGAGTAGATTCGTGTGTAGAATAGGTTCACGGCATCCAGACATACTGATGGCAGGCGGCCATTGAATCGACGGACTGGCTATAGGTGATTTCATCGACTGTTTGTCATCACAGACAGTGTGGATCCTTGCTCAAACTATGGATCACTCAATGCCGAGTCCAGATTACATACAATCCGCTGTCAAGATAGCTGGCTGAGTGCTCACTGCGGCACAAATTACTGTCGGATTCTGTTTTGGGACCTTTCATAATTTATGGCTAGTGGTGGGTTGTAGGTGGTGTGATGATGATAGTTATGGAGAAACATGTACAATATGAATGACAAGAAAGAAAAAGAAAGAAAGAAAAACAAAGAAAGACAAAAAAAAAGAAAAGAATAGGTGACCCCCCTTTAAATCATAATCACCCCCAAACCATAAATTATGAACGAACCCTTATACTAGTCTGTTTCTACATTCGAGTGAAACTGTTCATAAACATTGGTTATTGTAAGAATCTCATTGTGTGATAAGGAGACTACAACCCTGGTGTTGAGAATAATAATGACACGCAATAAGTAAACATTACAAGAAAAGTCAGTGAACATTTATTTGTGTAAACAACAGTGTATTGCGTGTATGGTTATATAATTGTGTAAATATGTAATTGATGTACGTCGAGATACTTGAGCGCGTTTAATAACAGCGAAAACTTTTATTTCCATAATTGTAAGAAATCCCTGCTGAAAGGTAACTCCGTCCATTCTGTCTTCACGTGTAGAATGGGCATGTGCTCATTAATAACAGCTGATGCTGATGCTAAGTTTATTATGCGTATCTTTATCTAAACACATAGGTTCTTGGGTCAAAAAATGCGAGAGTGATTGAGCAAATAAGTGAGTGGGAGGGCTGGTGAGTTTGTAACAATTCATGTAGACTTGCACAAGTCTCTGAGGTAATGATTAATAGTTTAAATGATAATTAAACAAAACTCCCATAAATCTACCTCTATCAGTCTGGCGTCCGCACTGTCCATTTATCTAGACTTGCCTCTAAAGGATAGAAATACTATAGATCCATGGGCTTAATATTCCGTACAGGCTACAATGAATGTATGCTGCTCCACTATACCGGCCAGTTTTCCTGTTGTACAACATAATTAACATTGGAAAATCAACTGGACACTGGTACAGCGTGATATACAAATTTGCTTGTCCGACAGAATAAAAACACTGGACTGCGACGTCGGGCGATGGGGTATTTCCACCCCTGCAATGTATGGTGATTGTAGTCTTATAGGGGTGTATATCACAGCAGGCGAACGCAAGGAATAAACACCGCACAGTGTACTCGTTACGGGACTAGAACTTGGACATTTGGCGTGACGATTGTGCGCTTTATCCACTTACGACCATGATTATATATTATATTTAATTCTATATTCAATGTCAGAGAAACTTCTACACATATTTCAGCAGCGGGACGTGCACATGGACAATAACTAACTCAGGACCTTTCGGTTCGGTGGAAGTGATATTCGTTAACGCCAGCTTGACTGACCACCCGTCATGTGACGCCAGTAACAGCGTCGTCGTGCATGATGGTGGTACGTAGCTCATGACGTCACAGACACGCCTCCAGCCATGTCGATTAAATTTTATGTATAACCCATTTTGGTTCACATATACATATTCAATAGAAGAGTTATTTTATTGTTAATGCGTGTGTTATGTAGATCGCCAAGCAGAGGGGCAAATATGGGACCGGGAAAGAAAGAGGCCCTTGCAAGACGAGTTTTCATAAGCGTACACACAAACTTGTTGGCTGAATGCCGAGCTGCCATAAGGGTTTTGTCACTAACGTGTTGACATGTAACGTTAGAGAATGATGGCGCTGTTATCATTCCCATAGACATTCAGATAACCCTTTTGCCTGAGAATATCCGGGTTAGAATTGGGCTTCTGTAACCCATGCTTGTCGTAAGAGGCGACTAACGGGATCGCGTGGTCAGGATCGCTGACTTGGTTGACCACGTCATCGTATCCCGACTGTGTACATCGATGCTCTTGATGTTAACCACTGGATTGTGTGGGCCAGATTCGATTATTTACAGACCGCTGCCATATAGCTGAAATATTGCTGATTGCGGCGTTAAACCAAAAACAATCATTCAGTTCATGCGATATCCCTTATCTCCTTGGTAACAGTTATTTTGGTCTTCTACGGTGTACTTCAGCTGTTTGGTTGGCATTCTTACAATTCAGACTTAATACTGGAAATACTTCAACCCAGACATACACCTATCAAGCCTAGTTCCAGAGAATGTTTTAGTCTAGAGCTGAGAGCCTATTGATGCTTGGTCTTCACAGATTCATCCGGCATCATTCTCGGCTTGATATGTCGCAACTACACAAGCACCTTCAGAAGTTCCGGCAACGTCATCACTGTGCGCTACCCTGCGGCTGAAGTGACGGACACCAACACCTTTTTTCTACGATATAGTCAATCACGTTTGTACAACTATATATTTTGTAATATAAATCATTCAAAGGAATAGTGCTGATAGTATACTGTTACGGTCCTCGTATGTCTCCGAGCGTTAAATGGATGGTGATACAGTAGTGATACAGGATCCATGCCAATGGAGTACGATCACATAACATCACGTAGATCAATGCTCATGCTGTTGGTCACTGGAGTATCTGGTCTAGACTCGATTATTTACAGACTGCCGATATATAGCTGAAATATTGCTGAGTGCGGCGTAAAACTAAACTCCCTCACTCACCCCATCCTCAATGAGCTAAGGAGTGGGCGGGCGAAAACAAATGAAACAGAAAATAAAAAGAATTTTTCACAGGCAATGTCACTATTGTTACGGAATTCAGACCACATTGTCATTGTCTTAAAATACATGTACATTTACAATGTAGATAAAGTCGTTTTTCTTGGGAAAAACGTTTCAGAAAATTTATTCGTAGGAAGATCAAGCTGCGCTGATATTTGTAAGAATTTCCAAGGCTATTATCATGTGTTTATCACACCAGGACATATATTTCCACAGCGGCGGGGAAAATTAAGATGACAAAACCTTTGATATATTTTACGTCGGAATGAAAATTCAGTGCGGGAGGGAGATGTTAAACACAGAGAAACAAAAGGAGGCTAGGCTTACATGGGGAAGTACTGGGGACCTCCTGTAATCAGAAATAGCACTGAGTGCTGCAATGTCGTTATCAACTGATTCTTTACGTGTTGCCCACTGTTACAGGTTTAGCTAGCTGTTCTGGACCATCCGTGACCGCTGTCTCAACATCAGAATATAGTATACTTTCTAATGGGTATCCTGATGGCTTTCTTGTGTAAGTAACCAAATACAAATACACATTCGACTTGTTTCAGTTAGTGGACATACACCAATCTGGTTTGTGATATGCATGTAAAGTATGTTGACAACAAATCAAGTTTTGGTTTGGGATGTTCCACTTCCAACTTGTACGAAAGTCGAGTGCTGGCTGTTTTGTTGCGTAAAATAGCGTTTCGTTGCTTCGACTATTTTGTCGGTGCTTGAGAGTATTTTCTCGTTATTTCAATTATTTTATCGTTATTTCAGTTATGTTTTCTCGTTATTTCAATTATTTTCTCGCTACTTCGAGTATTTTCTTACTTCTATTAACTTCTCATTGCTTCGAGTATTTTCAAATTATTGTTTTTTCGTAAAAATTCGATTTTTTTAAAAACTGGAACTGTCGAGAATATACTCGAAGCAATGAGAAATTAATTGAAGCAACGTGAAAATACTCGAAATTAATTGAAGTAACGTGAAAATACTCGAACTTTCAAAAAAATATTTGAAATGATCTCAGATTGTTTGAATATAGCATTAAACCTGATTATCTTTAACTTGATTGTAATTGAAAGCAAATGGGTAAATTTAGAGGTTGATTTGTGAGAGTAGGATTATTGCTCACGGCAAAAGCTTTGCAGTGTATGTATATATTTTTCACCCAAAACAAACTTTCGACGTGTAAACATGGGCCGTTGTTTATTTAGATTCGTAATCAAGGACGCCACGTGTGATGGTTATTTGTCGCTAGTTAACTTGATATAACACTCGTCATTCGTTTACATTGGTGTTGTCATACCCGGAGGAGCGAGGAGCGAGGATCGGTTATAACACCACTCCGAAGTTTAAGTTGAAAAATTAATTATAAAACCTCTCGGGCTTTTCTCGAGCTCGACGTTTTGAATTTTCAATAAATAAAAAAAAAGAAAAACAAAATCGAGGAGGAGAGTTTAGATATTCTATACATCGTCTTACTGCAATACATACCATAAAGAATGAAAAAACAACATCGTGATACGTTATAGTGAAACAATATGGTGTGCCGCGGTATAAAGGAATTCGACGATAACGTACACTTGTAAGACCACGTGTTGCACGCGGACAACTGAAGCCATGATGTGACGCTGAAGACCCTTGAATCATCTGCCCTTGTAGTTCAGAAGGAATTAGCTGGTTAGAATACTAAACATGACATATAAGGGTGGGAGTTCAATTTTTGTGAAAGATTTTAACCCATCAAAACTCCACATTAGATACATATTATGAGGTTGTACATAAAATTACAAAGGTTTTTATGAGACAGAATAGTAAGTGCAATGCAATAGGCTAAAGTGACATTTGGCTTAAAAGATTGTTTTATCTAAAATTAAATGACGAAGTGTGTTTCATCTAGTGACAGAAGACAAACACTCATGGCACATAACATTCAGAAAATTTACACGCCAGCTATTTCTTTAAAATAATATGGAACATTATTCTCATTCTATTTAATGATTGCCCATTTTAGTTTCTGATTAATTTACAAAAGCCAAAAAAACCCAAACACACACACACACACACACACACACACACACACACACACACACACACACACACACACACACACACACACACACACACACACACACACACAAACACACACAAAACAACAACAACAACAATCAAACAAAAACAAAACCCAAAACAAAACAATCAAACAAAACATTATTATTGTTTTTGGTCCTGCCAAAACCGATTTGTCTTCGTTTCAAATTTCGGGTTTGTTCTAAAAATAATATGTTTGGATGTAACAGTGCCACAGGAGTGAAAATATAACTGTGTTTGTCTTCTGTATAGAAGTTAGTGCAAATAATGCCACTCTAGTATGAAGGGTCTGTTTTGTGATGTCTTCATGCAATCAGATATATTCCTCTCCCATAGATCAATCAAATGTACCTGGTACGTGCGTGCGCGGAAGGGTCAACGAGTCCGTTTATCCGTAGAAACCGCTGGCATCGTCAGCAACACGTGTGAAGACGCAAAGATCACATTTCTTGAATTTGGCAAGTATTCTTAGCATTTTCACAGCTTTAGAATTGAACAGTGAAGATGACGCGTTAGTCATGAAGTAACAACTGGATGGACTTTTATTGCTGATTACTTGACAATGACCTGACTCAGTAGTCATGCTTTCTGGTTGTCACACAAGGGATTCCACCTTTAAAATGGTTCCCAGCCAACCATGCTTGTTGAAGGCGACAAAATGGTTCCAAGCCAACCATGCTTGTTGAAGGCGACGAAATGGTTCCCAGCCAACCATGCTTGTTGAAGGCGACAAAATGGGATCTGATGGTCAGGTGTTGTTACTTAATTTATTGGCCCGTTATGGTCCGGGTGAGAATTGATCTTCGGTAACCCATGCTTGTTCTACGATGCGACTAACGGGATCGGGTAGTCAGGCTCGCTGACGTGGTTGTCACATGTCATCGCATCCAAATTGCGTAGATTGATGCTCATGCTGATCACTGGATTGTCTGGCCCAGACTCGATTATTTATAGACCGCCGCGATATAGCTGGAATATTGCTGAGTGCGGCGTAAAACTAAACTCACTAACCCACTCTCACTACTTAATGATTGCGGGTCATCGTAGCCAGAAATCGTTGCTCACTACCATATTGAGTAATGGTAAGCTGTACTCTTGTTTACATTCTTCACTTTGATCGTCCTAAGATGTTGACGGAATTTGTGTTAGTGAGCCAGTTGAATTTGCACCCCTTTTAGCAATGTTCCAGCAACATCACGGCGGGGGACACCAGAAATGGGCTTCACACATTGTAACCATGTTGGGAATCGAACCCGGGTCTTAACGCTTTAACCCCTAGACTACTCCACCGCCCATAACGGAATTCGAACATGTTTGCCATTCTGTTTCAGACCACCCGCGAATTAATGTTACATGGTGTCCGGGAAGAATCAACGTCTACCAAAGCTGGAGTTCAGTAGCCATTGTGCAGCTGGAAGTATCTAATAATCGTAGTGTCCGTGTGAGGTACAGAGCTGTCGAAGGTTAGACATACACATGTTTGGACATACATACATACATACATACATACATACATACATACATACACACACACACACACACACACACACACACACACACACACACATATACATACACACACACACACACACATACATACATACATGCACATACATACACACACACACACACACACACACACAAATACATACATACATACATGTACATACATACATACACACATACATACATACATACATACATACATACATACATACATACATACATACATACATACATATATATACTCATGGCAATAATGGTTGTCACCCCTTCAATTTTTAATTGGAGAAGGGGTGGGGGAGGTGTGTGTGGTAGGGGTGGGTAGGGGGGTGACAACCATTATTGGCATGGGTATATATATGTATGTGTGTGTGTGTCATATATGGCGGATTTATATATTTAGTTCACACAAGATCTCTGTCATATATTTCATGAATACAGATACCGCAGGCTCTGTTGCGATTCTTAGTCCCAGGCAATCCCTGCTTTTCATTGGAGAAGACTGAAAGGATCGAGTGGTCGAAACCGGTGATACGGTCATTTGTACCGTGTTGCTTGAATATTGCTTTATACTGCGTTAAGAAAGAGCACACGAATAGCTTGGTCAGTGACGTATATAGCCAGTTAAAGGTGTCCAGTTATATGTGTTTCGAATGTACAGACGCTGCTTGAAATATATTGTGATTTTGTTGATGATTTCCATTCAGAGGATAAATGCGGAAGTGAAGATCTTAAGGCAGCACCAGAGGAGCAATTTCTCATGACACCGGGCTACCCAAATCCTTTCCCAAGGTACGGCTTCATCTACTTCATTCCGCTCCAATGCATCTGGGATTTCAGTTATCTCCGTTCCAACACGTTCCAATATCTCCAGTCTCTAAGTAGTTCCAATGTCTCCTGTCTCTAAGTAGTTCCAATATCTCCTGTCTCAAAGTAGTTCCAATATCCCCTGTCTCAAAATAGTTCCAGTATCTCCTGTCTTAATGTAGTTCCAATATCTCCTGTCTCACTGTAGTTCCAATATCTCCTGTCTCAAAGTAGTTCCAATATCTCCTGTCTCAAAGTAGTTCCAGTATCTCCTGTCTTAATGTAGTTCCAATATCTCCTGTCTCACTGTAGTTCCAATATCTCCTGTCTCAAAGTAGTTCCAATATCTCCTGTCTCAAAGTAGTTCCAATATCTCCAGTCTCAAAGTAGTTCCTATATCTTCTGTCTCTAAGTAGTTCCAGTATCTCCTGTCTCTAAGTAGTTCCAGTATCTCCTGTCTCTAAGTAGTTCCAATATCTCCTGTCTCTAAGTAGTTCCAGTATCTCCTGTCTCTAAGTAGTTCCAATATCTCCTGTCTCAAAGTAGTTCATGTATCTCCTGTCTTAATGTAGTTCCAATATCTCCTGTCTCAAAGTAGTTCCAATATCTCCTGTCACTAAGTAGTTCCAATATTTCCTGTCTCTAAGTAGTTCCAATATCTCCTGTCTCAAAGTAGTTCCAATATCTCCTGTCTCTAAGTAGATCCAATATCTCCTGTCTCTAAGTAGTTCCAATATCTCCTGTCTCTAAGTAGTTCCAATATCTCCTGTCTCTAGGTAGTTCCAGTATCTCCTGTCTTAATGTAGTTCCAATATTTCCTGTCTCAAAGTAGTTCCAATATCTCCTGTCTCAAAGTAGTTCCAATATCTCCTGTCTCAAAGTAGTTCCAGTATCTCCTGTCTCTAGTCTAAGTAGTTCCAATATCTCCTGTGTCAAAGTACATCGTTCCAATATCTCCTGTGTCACAGTAGTTCCAATATCCCCTGTCTCTAAGTAGTTCTAATATCTCCTGTCTCTAAGTAGTTCTAATATCTCCTGTCTCTAAGTAGTTCCAGTATCTTCTGTCACTAAGTAGTTCCAGTATCTTCTGTCTCTAAGTAGTTCCAATATCTCCTGTCTCAAAGTAGTTCCAATATCTCCTGTCTCACTGTAGTTCCAATATCTCCTGTCTCTAAGTAGTTCCAATATCTCCTGTCTCTAAGTAGTTCCAATATCTCCTGTCTCTAGGTAGTTCCAGTATCTCCTGTCTTAATGTAGTTCCAATATTTCCTGTCTCAAAGTAGTTCCAATATCTCCTGTCTCAAAGTAGTTCCAATATCTCCTGTCTCAAAGTAGTTCCAGTATCTCCTGTCTCTAGTCTAAGTAGTTCCAATATCTCCTGTGTCAAAGTACATCGTTCCAATATCTCCTGTGTCACAGTAGTTCCAATATCCCCTGTCTCTAAGTAGTTCTAATATCTCCTGTCTCTAAGTAGTTCTAATATCTCCTGTCTCTAAGTAGTTCTAATATCTCCTGTCTCTAAGTAGTTCCAGTATCTTCTGTCTCTAAGTAGTTCCAGTATCTTCTGTCTCTAAGTAGTTCCAATATCTCCTGTCTCTAAGTAGTTCCAATATCTCCTGTCTCTAAGTAGTTTCAGTATCTCCTCTCTAAGTAGTTGCAATTTCTCCTGTCTCAAAGACGTTCCAATATATCGCCTGTCTCAAAGTCGCTCCTGTATCTCCTGTCTCAAATTAGATGTCCAATTTTCTATTGCCTTGTCGAAATCGACTCAAATCGGCTGCAGAAAAATTCTATTTCTTGATATGTTTTATGTTTCCATATATGCTACAGGGTTGGGAGTAGGTGCAAGGGTGTATTTTTAAGTGAAACATAAAGTCCTGCTCTGAATGCATCAGCTTTTACAAATCAAGCCAAATAGTGAATCGTTTACTGGGCATATTTCAGGTGTCGATATTGTAATTTCCTAACCATTATATCACAGATGTAGTAATGAAAGTACATCATTTACGAATATTTCCTTTCTTTCACTCTTTTCCGCAGTTACCTTGAATGTCGATGGACAATAGACGCTCCAAACCCCCAGATTGACGCAATCCGGATAGATATCTTGGAAGTGGATGTGGACACGCAAGGATGTTCGACAGATGTCATCAGGGTATATGATGGTAGGCCATTTTTCTGAAACCGATAATGTGTGCTCACGTAAATTACAGCTTATCAATTATGCCGTTAATGGGGGCTTTTTGGGAAGTATTCAGGTTGAAGCATTTGTTCATTTAGGACAATGCATTGTTTCACGTCACATGCCATGATGAGGTCAAAGTATCTCCTTCACTAATCTCCTTGATTAATTAACACCCAAACATTGGTATTCCACCAAAAGTTAAGTTCATTAGGTGAAGGCTGTGATGGGACTTAGTAAGTTGTTACCATGCACTTGAAAGCTGCACATCTTCCCCCTTTTTCTGATTTTGTTTTGTTATTCTGTGTTGTTTGTCACCATGGTAACTATTATATAAAATACACCTAAATCGGCAATTTGTATTTTGTGAAACAATTAGACACTATAGTCTGTCAACCCAACTTTTGGGACACCCCTTCTGTCAAATATCTTCCAAATAACACCAACTGACCACATGCCATTAACGTATATCTTAATGATCCCCTATGACGTAATGACAAAAAATAGTTTTAACTTTGTTGGTCACTGGGGACAAAGTTACTTAAGTAACTATCATTAAATTTTCTGTTATTATTCTGGATATTAAGATATACGTTAATGGCATGTGGTCAGTTGGCGTTATTTGGAAGATATTTGACTAAAGGGGTGTCCCAAAAGTTGGATTGACAGACTGTAGTGTTAAACATCATTCAATGTATGTGAGGCTCAGTGTTGAAACTTAGTAATAGTTGAATGTACATGTATGGATTAAAAAAGAGTTTCAATCTTTCCATGTCATTCCAAATGTCGGAAACAAGGTATCACACACAGAATATGGCGGGTTGGAACTTGAATAAATGCGACAAACCCCCTTCCACATTCAGAATCTGTTCAGTTCGGACCATATCATGAACCTGTGTTTATGAATCACTACCATTATAGTGATGACACCAGGTGTTCAGTTCGGACCATATCATGACCTTGTGTTAATGAATCACTACTATTATAGTGATGATACCGGGTGTTCAGTTCGGACCATATCATGAACTTGTGTTTATGAATCACTACTATTATAGTGATGACACCAGGTGTTCACTTCGGACCATATCATGAACTTGTGTTTATGATTCAATACTATAATAGTGCTGATACCGGGTGTTCAGTTCGGACCATATCATGAACCTGTGTTTATGAATCCCTACTATTATAGTGATGACACCAGGTGTTCTCCGAGTCTTGAAATAATCCACCCTGCAACTTCGGTGGCATGTATTTCATTCACTGTTAAGTCTTCTTGTGTTTTCAATATAGGGATTGTACTTTTGGAATTGGTTCTAACCATTCTAATGAACACTGTTTCAGGGATATTGTCAACCAAGAAGCTTGTTGGGACGGCTTGCGGGGAGCTGAAATCATTCTATGTGTACGGGCGTTCGGCAATGGTGGAGTTCAGATCGTTGAGGGACAGAAATACAAAATCAGGCTTTAAGCTGAAGTATTACAACACAACAGGTGTAGTCATAATTGCAACAGTTATATAAAGTAATAATATTGCTTTATGTTCGTCTTTTTCACAGACCCTACAAAAGTGACCGCCTCCGTGGTGTAGTGGTTAGAGCGTCCACCCGGAGAGCGGAAGGTCGCGGGTTCGATCCCCGACCCTGTCATACCAAAAGAGGTTAAAATATGGTACTTGTTGGTCCCTGCCTGGCGCTCGGCATTAATGGGTACAACAAGGACTGGTCGGCTCGGAGTCAGTATAATGTGTCTGAGTGGGGTATTCTCAAGTACGAAGTTAAACCCAATTTCACCTCACCTCACCTCACCCTACAAAAGTACGTATTCTGGGAGATTCGTACCAGTTCTAAAAATATAGATCTTTGCATCCACTTCTTCTAAAAATCCCTTTTACTGTAGGATTTGTTCTGCTACCATTATCTAGTAATTTGAAAATGGCATCTGGACATTCTTTCTTCTGTTTACGACAAACGTACATCCCTGAAGACACAGAAGCTGAAACATACTGTATATTACCTGGTGGTTGCATCCCTGTACCTTTCTGTGAAAACCACCCGTGAATATCCGGGTTAGAATTGATTCTTCAGTAACCCATTTTTGTCGTAAGAGGTGACTAACGGGATCGGGTGGTCAGCCTCGCTGTCTGGTTGACACATGTCATCGTATCATAATTGCGTATATCGATGCTCATGCTGTTGATCACTGGATTGTCTGTCTGTTCTGACTCGATTATACAGCAGGAATATTGCCGAGTGCGGAGTAAAACTAAACTCACTGTGAAAACCACAGGTGTTAACGTTATAACGTGGTCAACAGTCAAAGTGTTGTAAACTGTTTACAATGAAATATATTGGTTAGTGGCTCGAGTTTCAAATGTTTATCGGCGACCCGTAAGTGATCAGTATTAGAAGCAACTTTTCCATCCTTTTCTCTTCCAGCTGAGCCATGCGGGGGGAACCTAGTGGCCAGCTCTACCAGGCAGAATGTTACATCACCAGGATACCCTGTCAACTACCCCATGTAAGTGGAATTCGCTGTTGTCCTGGGGAACGGCCTTTTGTTACATCCCCACCTACCACGGCTTTTGATCTATTCAGCATTCACAAATATGTCTCTTGATGTAATTTGACATATTAATAGTGAATATCCCATATTATAGAATAATACGTTTGGCTGAAATAATTTGTAATTTTTTTCAAGAGTAATCTTCCCCATTAAATTGTCCACGCCCCCAATGTTGTAGTGCTATGCATGTCCTTTTTAGGATCAATTACATTTTCATCCCAGTCAAGCGTGTTGCCGAAATTGGTAATTTGAACTCTTCTTGCCTTTTTATACACAACGGGTGTGACAAGAAGAGTTAAGTAATGAAATAATTACGAAAAATCGTCCTTTCCTACTCTGCAGCAATGAAAGGATATATTTAGAAAAATATTCACTGCCATATTTTGCTTTCGGTTCGGTATACCATAATGCAATCCAAATATTCGGTATTTTCGGTTTTCGAACGCCATTTTATTAACCTTTTCAAACCTTTTCTAAAATGTCTACAAATCGAATCATTTTGTCAAAACCTATCTAGGTTTGGCTCTTGTCAATTTCTGCATTATGATCATATCTCATATACCCAACCGAAACGGACCGAACCAGGCCTTGTACTGCAAAACGTACCGTATTGCCTTGTAGCGCAATAGTAAGAGCGTACCGTTTCACCCCTATTCACTGGCTTACCTGAATCATACACACCTGCAAAGACTCGCTATTTGTCCCTTCCAGACAACAAATATTTAGATTTGGCCGATTGTGTTTCAGCTCCTTCAAATGTGTCTGGACCATTTCAGCTGAAAATCCGGAGGGACACGTCAAGCTGACATTTTTAGCAGTAGAGCTGTACAAAATACTTTCCTCGCTTGGTGATAAGGTGGTTGTATATGACGGTATGTATGGTTCAGCTCAGTTTGCACTCAGTAACGACAGACATTCTACATTCACAACTTGTTCGCAAAAGGCGGCAGGTAGATGAATTGTAAATATAAAGTATATTTGTGAGCGTCAGCGAGCTGGGGGAGATTTGAAATGAGACATTCCTGATAAAAATGGAAATGGCAAACGTTTGATAATTGTTCACTAGTCTAGACTCTGCTGCCATGTGAAGACCACTAGTCTAGATTCTACTGCCATGTAAAGACCACTAGTCTAGACTCTACTGCCATGTGAAGACCACTACTCTAGACTCTACTGCCATGTGAAGACCACTAGTCTAGACTCTACTGCCATGTGAAGACCACTAGTCTAGACTCTACTGCCATGTGAAGACCACTAGTCTAGACTCTACTGTCATGTGAAGACCACTAGTCTAGACTCTACTGCCATGTGAAGACCACTAGTCTAGACTCTACTGCCATGTGAAGACCACTAGTCTAGACTCTGCTGCCACGTGAAGACCATTAGGGTCCGTCCATGTTTTCACCCTTGAAGATCCCGGTTAGAATTAGTCAACAGCAAACTATGCTTGTCGCAAGAGGCGACTAACGGGATCGGTTGGTCGGACTCGCTGACTTAGTTGACACATATCATTGCATCCATATTGCGTAGATTGATGCTCATGATGTCAGTCACTGTATTGTGTGGTCCAAGCTAAATTAGTCACAAACCGACGTCATATAGCTGAAAAATCGCTGACTAAACAACAAACAAACTTCATAATGGTTGGTCCTTCGCATACTAGTCAGAACATCTCATGAAAGACACATTTTTGTATAATTGAACCATAAATCATTGCCTCTTCGACCAAGCCCCAATTATTTCTCGTTACTTTTTTTCTGTACCGTGTCAGGTAACACAACCGGCGGCTACTTGCTTGGAACAGTGTTTGGAACGGACAAGCCTACCTTTACAAGTCAAGAGGCATCTCTCACCGTGATGTTTAAAACAGACAGCTATGATCAGCTGACCGTGCTTGATACAGCAGGCTTTATATTTGGATACGAAGAGACACGGTGTAAATATAAACGTCACGGTGTAAAATAAGCAGTCTCACTGAAAATCAGTGGTGACACCAGGTGTTCGAGAAAAAAGAAATCTTTTGATTACATGACCTCGACTTATGGATAACACACTGCTTATCGAGAAAAGATATGACAAAATTATTGTTTTTATAGATATATCCCGATGCTAGAATCAAGGGGCGGGTTACTATAAATCGTTTGGTAAAAACGTGATTACATTTTTTTGTTTTCGGCTCTATTTACAATAAAATATGTATGAATAATTATAAATAAGCCTCCAACATTTCTTATGATAAGGAACATAGTACTGATAATGAACTTAACAAAAGGAAACTATGTTTACTATGAATATCCATGCATACCGTAATAGAGAAATCTTTAATTAAGTAAAATTTGTCTGTGGTTTGTGACGATGGGATATAGCCTGCTGGCTGAAATAAAAACACACTTTTTTAAATGAGTAGGCTTTTTGATCTTCTCGAGAGATCACGAACTGTTTTTGAAATTCGAAATGTAAATAACGATAATCATCTAAAAACGACCAACCAGAATAACGCTTAGTCTCTAAAAATATTATTCAATTTTGATAGAACCGAATTTTTTTTTTTATATTGAAGATGCAGATTCCTGACCCCAAAAGAACATCTAGACTTGGAACATCATTTCGGGGTTTTTTTCTGGGTAGAAGGGAAAATAAAATTGTTCAGGGACAGACAACTATTTAATGCTGCAATGTCTATTATAAATAGCACTGTTTCTGTTACGTAATGCTGGTGCATAGATACAGATATTTGCAAGTTTCCATTCCTATGTATTCTAAAAGCAACTGTCACTTTCAGAAGTGAATTATTTCAGTTTGTCTTTGCATATTAAAAGATGCATTCCCAAGACATGTGACGTGTACATCGTTATTAGGGACCGTTCATTATTTATGGCTAGGGGGGTGACGATGATATTTATGGAGAAGCATGTACAATGTGAATGACACCCCCCTTCCCTTCCCATAATTCTAAGCATAATTTTAAACATAAGTAAATGTACACAAATGCTGACACACACCCAACCCCCAACCCCCAGCTGAATATTGTCACCAACGCGGTTATGACCTATCTCTTACAAACAATATTAGTAGTACAAATACTGATCAGTAATATCTTCTTGTTTCAGACACGCCGCCCTTGAACCGTGTAATTAAAGTTCCACCTGCATCGACCTTGCTGTCGCCACGATTCCCGGATGGCGAAGTGAAGTAAGGGACACAACTGTTGATGGTGAAACCTGCCATATAGCATGTCAACCGATCAGTGGACAGAACAGGATCAAGTGATCTGACAAGAACACATTGTATTCAAATCTTATCAGGCCTATTTAGGATTCTATGCACATCGATTTAAGTGACCTTTTTTGTTCATTTAACATGGCAGTAATTGTATTCCGAGATGTGAATGCAACTTGAACCGTGCTCTCTGCTCATGGAACTTTCGGTTGGGACTACCTTATCAATTCACCTTAATAGTTTGACTAAACAATACGCGACATCTTGTTGGAGTTATGGGAAATAGTTCTTTTTTCTACGTTTGAGGATCTTATCTTTGACGTTTTGTGTATTAAGTTTGTGAACCAGATTTACATACAATGGTTGTTAGAACATCCCGATATACAATGTGCAGTGCGTAGTAATTACAAAAAACATATCCTTTAGATGCAAGATTTAAAATCATGTTCATCTTGACACACTAAAAGGTTTTAGCTGTGACTTATTTGAATTTGATACACTGTTAATATGGGGGCCGTTATTTTCAGGGATATGAACGCGACCTGGACGGTGCGTGCCAAATGGGTCGGGCCCAAAGTGCTGTTGTCATTTGTGGATGTTGATCTTGGAGACGCTAGTGACTGCAACAACAATTACATAATGGTCTATCAAGGTACGTGTGAAAATATGTGGCCACAGCTCAGGGGTGGATACAGCTTGTTAAGAAGAAGGTGGGGGGTTGGGGTTTGCACAGTACATTTACGCTCCTTTGACGAGAGTTTTAGTGGTCATTTGATAAACTTTCAGGACGATAAGGGGTTGGGGGCAGTGATCGAAATGGCCTGCCCGCCTGCCCGAGGCTGGCAACTTTCTTGTCGGGCAGCCTGATAAATCTCCACCAGCCCGATTATCTGGCTGATATTTTTAAATACCTCCCTTTTGGAAGCTTTGTATGAATAAGATATATATGAAGATATATTTGAGGCGGGTATCACTTTACACTTTCACTATAAATCTTTTTGAGAAAATATATCATTTTGATGATGTAAACCGATAAGTGGAATATTGCAAGTTTTTTTCAAATGTCACAGGCTGGGGATGTGACTGAGTATTCAATTTCATGCTTGTTGTTTTTAATTTGCTGAAGTAATTCACATTTGAAACAATAATATGTTTTTGTAAAAAATGCTATTTATGAGTCAAAAGTGCGGGCAGGCAACTCTCAAGACGGACAGGCAACATTTATTGGTCACCTGCCCGACTGTCTGGTTGAGTTTGAAAAATATTTCACACCCCTGTACACCGCCTATGCATTTAGTTACTCTACTCGGTTAAATATGAAATGAAACATATATAGGATGTAATTTACACAGATCAATACTACCTAATATCCAGGTTAGAACCATCGGGTGTTGCAATCCTCTGACTCATAGAAACAAGCATGCCAGCCTGATCAATAGGTAGCGGTTGACAGGCGTTACAATCTATTTGGCAGGCAGTACATCATCTGATGAGTTCTCGAAGATCTGTGGTAATGAAACGGGTAAATACCTCAGTCGGGACAGAGAACTCTCCGTGGTCTTCAGGACAGACAGCAACCTCGCTAGACGAGGGTTTAAAACTGTACAAGACTTGTCAAAATATGGAGACTTCGGTGAGTAGTCACAAAATGACTTATACCAATAAATCTGATATATAATCCAGAAGTCTATGGAGTGAATAAGTGAGTTTAGTTTGGCGCTGTTTGGCAATATTTCAGGGAAGGGAAACCAGAAGTAGGCTTCACACATTGTACGTACCCATGTGGGGAATCGAACCCGGGTCTTCGATGGACGAGCGAACGCTTGAACCGCTAGGCTACCCCACAGTTCATTGGAAATCAGCATTTTAGTTATTTTGTCTTGTCATACAAATATTATCAGCGCATATTTCAGAAAGTCTTAGACTGGCTGCAGGGTCATTAACGAAAACAAGCTGATTTTATCATGCTCAGAGATAATCTCCAGAATATACTTGATGAAATATCAATCGAAGTGTTTGGAGATAAATCAAGGCGATTGGCAGCCATTGACTGTTTGACTTGTGATCGTCAGGTAGACGATGTGGTACAAAACATTAACGCACTGCAATATCGGGAAGCAAACCGTAATACGTCAAGCATGCAATAGCGTTATCAGACTTGTCATGCTCTGTTCTGAAGGTTTTTATCTGTCTGAAGGACACAATGCATCCTACCACATCTTATAGCCTAAGGTGATCGGAAAGAAAGTCATAGGAAGAAAGTCACTGATAAAAAGTCACAACTTTGGCTAGGAAAAAAAGTCACTGGAAAAAAAGTCACAATAACTGTTTATTATCTGTGAGATATGTGTAACTATGACCATAAATCACAGGATCAATCACAGACTGGCGTGCTTACTGTACATGTGTCATACAAGTACTATTTTCAAATACTGTTGCTCTTAATAAAAATCCATGATGCAAATGGGAAAGGACATGGCTAAACATATACCAAGTTTCTTCCTTCTCATGTTTGTTGGAGAAGGAAACATAATTATATACACTTGTAACATATGTTATATTTGTGATTACTCTTTCTTAGTAAAGTACAAATTCTAGTTCTCAAGCACGACGTTAAACCCAATTTCACCTCACCTCACCTCACAAATTCTAGTACTTTTGTTGGGTTGAGTCCCATCCGGGATTCGAACCCACACCCTCAGAGTCAGGCACCTAATCGCCAGCACACAGTACATAACCGTGAAGTAGACAACTCTCATTACTTAATTAACAGAGTGACCCCCGTTCACTGATCAGTGGTCTCTCCCACTCTTGGTTTCACGCCCCAATTACCTCATCAATTATGTTATCATGTCAGAAACAGAAGCTGTTATATTACAGAGATATTTTACAGCCCACTAGTATATAGTATGTTACTAGTATATATATTATTGTATTGTGACTTTTTCCTGTGACTTTTTATCCATGGCTTTTTATCCGTGACCTTTTTCCTGTGACTTTCTTTCCTACATTCAAGCCTAATACCTTCGTTGCGTGGGTCCTGTCGGATGTTCTCAGTTTGCTGGCATGTATTGATAGGAACTCCTCTGGACCAGACCAAGATATATCTTACAACAATTGAGATTTGAACTATAACTTGTCCCATGCTGGACTGCCGGAAAACAGACTATAGCTTTTAGTTCACCGCCAGTGTTTATCACGCTTGTCTTTCCTCAACCGTATTCTGTAAGTCGATACACGGTGGAATATAACTCAACTAAAACAGAATATGTCGCCAAATGAATTACGTTCTCATATTACCATGTATAAATGCTCCTCATCGATTAATTTCAGATGGCTGCCTCGGTGAAACGGATGAGAAAACAGCTTATTCAGGCAGCCCGTCAAAACTTGAATCTCCTTTGTACCCAGGCAATTACCCAAAGTAAGTTTGAAGTCTCAGTTGCAAGTGCTGGTGGTTGGTGCTAAAATGAAGCCACACATAGTGTTGTGAATGGGTGTGGATGTCCACGTGTAATGAGTGTGAATGTCCATGTGTGATGTGTAATGGGTGTGGATGTCCATGTGTGATGTGTAATGAGTGTGAATGTCCATGTATTATGTGTAATGAGTGTGGATGTCCATGTATTTTGTGTAATGAGCGTGAATATCCATGTGTTATGTGTAATGAGTGTGAATGTCCATGTGTTATGTGTAATGAGTGTGAATGTCCATGTGTTATGTGGAATGAGTGTGAATGTCCATGTGTTATGTGGAATGAGTGTGAATGTCCATGTGTTATGTGTAATGAGTGTGAATGTCCATGTGTAATGTGGAATGAGTGTGGATGTACATGTATTTTGTGGAATGGGAGTGGATGTCCATGTGTTGTGTGGAATGAGTTTGACTGTGCATGTGTTATGTTGAATGAGTGTGGATGTCCATGTGTAATGGGGAATGAGTGTGGATGTAAATGTGTTATGTGTAATGGGTGTGGATGTCCATGTGTTATGTGTAATAGGTGTGGATGTCCTAGACTAACAACTAGTCTCTGAAATGAACATATTTTACTGAAAAAAGCTCATAGTAAAAACAAAATATATATAATGAAAAGGAGCCCTGAGACTTTCTTCATTTTCAGAGACTAAACAAATCTGCAGAGGGATAATTTCTTGGAATTTCACAACACATGCAAAGATTCTTATCACCCATTACTGCTTTAATTGTGTGTGACAGGAATATTTACTGCCCCCATCACCTCCCAGTCCTACTGCCAGTGGTGTGGGAGGTTTTGGGGTAATGAGTATCAAGTGTCGCCAAATCTATTTTCAGAGCAAGCAGGGATACCAGCTAAGGGTAGCATCTCTTAATATTCCTATGGCTGGACAACTGGATCTCACAAAAAAATTTGTCACAGCCTAAGTCATGTTTCCATGGAAACAGCAAAAATAAATAAATTCATATCTGGGTCTAACCATCAAATGGCACATTTATGGATCATGCTTGATATGTGTACCAAGTTTACCATGTGTACGAAGTCACGTTTCAATGGAAACCGCAAAAAATAAAATTCATATCTGGGTCTAACCATCACATGGCACATTTATGGATCATGGTTGACATGTGTACCAAGTTTGGTTACGCTATCACAAATAGTTTAGGAGATATGCTTGGGACAAAGCGTGACGGACGCACGGACGGACGGAACTCGTTTCTATATCCCCCGCAACTTCGTTGTTGCGGGGGATAACAATATGCCATCAGATCCCCATGACAATGTCTTTTCAAAGTTTACGGATAAAGTAACAAATGCCTACATCGTTGAGGTACACTGCTTTGAGCCTAATGATTTATATTTCTCTGTTTGTCTCTTCATCATGCAAATCAAGGATGACACAACAATAACAGTAGCATGGCTTGTATTTTCTCCTGACTTGTCTGATTAGGGAGAATTTCGAATGTCAGTGATTTTCCACTCCTGGACGGAGAACAAAACAACACATCTTCACCACATACTTTTCAATCATTGCATTCTGATTTGGACGAATGCTATGTATATTAATTTGCTTTCATCCTCATCAAAGTTCCAATTTATTTTTACTTTTCGAAATGATCCCCTCTCCTAGCCAGTGTAAAATGAAACAGTTAAAGAAAATACTCAGATTTTATAAGTCATCAGGTCTTTAGTGTAATCACACAGTTGTTTGTCTGGAGTGAGAGGACAGGCAGAAGCAGGAGGTCTTGGCTCAGCGTGGGGTCTTGGGGAGTGGATGGGGAGGCTCCCCATGAGTTAATATTAAACACTAGTGACAGCTAGAGATCAACTGATAATTACAAGCCATATTCTGGCTTGTGAATTCAGCAGATTGGTACAGACCCTGAAGCTGAGGAAATCTAGACTTGCCACATTTTCTAGACTTGTGTGGGCTTTCTTGGATATATTTGCTTCAGGGTCTGTACGACAGACTATGGATGTCCATGTGTTATGTGTCCTGAGTGTGGATATCCATGTGTTATGTGTACTGAGTGTGGATGTCCATGTGTTATGTGTAATGGGTGTGGATGTTCATGTATAATGTGTAATGACTGTGGATGTCCATGTGTGATGTGTAATGAGTGTGGATATCCATGTGTTATGTGTAATGTGGTGTGATGTGAATGTATAATGTGTAATCCTGTGGATGTTCATGTATAATGTGTAATGACTGTGGATGTCCATGTGTTATGTGTAATGGGTGTGGATGTCCATGTATAATGTGTAATGAGTGTGGATGTCCATGTGTGATGTGTAATGAGTGTGGATGTCCATGTGTTATGTGTAATGAGTGTGGATGTCCATGTGTGATGTGTAATGAGTGTGGATGTCCATGTGTGATGTGTAATGGGTGTGGATGTCCATGTGTGATGTGTAATGGGTGTGGATGTCCATGTGTTATGTGTAATAGGTGTGAATGTCCATGTGTTTTGTGGAATGGGGGTGGGTGTGCATGTGTTTTGTGGAATGAGTGTGGATGTCCATGTGTTATGTGTAATGGGTGTGGATGTCCATGTGTTATGTGTAATGGGTGTGGATGTCCATGTGTTATGTGTAATGAGTGTGAATGTCCATGTGTGATGTGTAATGTTATGTGTAATGAGTGTGGATGTCCATGTGTTATGTGTAATGAGTGTGGATGTCCATGTGTGATGTGTAATGAGTGTTGATGTCCATGTGTTATGTGTAATGACTGTGGATGTCCATGTGTTATGTGTAATGAGTGTGAATGTCCATGTGTTATGTGTAATGAGTGTGAATGTCCATGTGTTATGTGTAATGAGTGTGAATGTCCATGTGTTATGTGTAATGAGTGTGGATGTCCATGTGTTATGTGTAATGAGTGTGAATGTCCATGTGTTATGTGTAATGGGTGTGGATGTCCATGTGTTATGTGTAATGAGTGTGAGATGTCCATGTGTTATGTGTAATGGGTGTGGATGTCCATGTGTGATGTGTAATGGGTGTGGATGTCCATGTGTTATGTGTAATGGGTGTGGATGTCCATGTGTTATGTGTAATGGGTGTGGATGTCCATGTGTTATGTGTAATGGGTGTGGATGTCCATGTGTATGTGTAATGGGTGTGGATGTCCATGTGTGATGTGTAATGGGTGTAAATGTCCATGTGTTTTGTGGAATGGGTGTGGATGTGCATGTGTTTTGTGTAATGAGTGTGGATGTCCATGTGTGATGTGTAATGGGTGTGGATGTCCATGTGTTATGTGGAATGAGTGTATGATGTCCATGTGTGTATGTGTAATGAGTGTGAATGTCCATGTGTGTTATGTGTAATGAGTGTGGATGTCCATGTGTTATGTGGAATGAGTGTGAATGCCCATATGATATGTGGAATGAGTGTGAATGTCCATGTGTTATGTGGAATGAGTGATAATGTGCATTTGTTATGTGTAATGGGTGTGAATGTCCATGTATAATGTGTGATGGGTGTGGATGTCCATATGTTATGTGGAATGGGAGTGGATGTCCATGTGTTATTTGGAATGAGTGTTATTGTCCATGTGTAATGAGTGTGAATGTCCATGTGTTCTGTGGAATGAGTGTGAATGAATATGTGTAATGTATGCTTAATTGTGAATCCATGTGAATGTCCATATGTTATGTGGAATGAGTGTGAATGTCCATGTGTTATGTGGAATGAGTGATAATGTGCATGTGTTATGTGTGATTGGTGTGAATGTCCTTTTGCCATGTGGAATAAGGGTGGATGTTCATGTGTTTTGTATGGTGTAATGAGTGTGAATGTCCATGTATGAAGTGTAATGGGGGTGAATGTCCATGTGTTATGTGGAATGAGTGTGAATGTCCATGTGTTATGTGGAATGAGTGTGAATGTCCATGTGTTATGTGGAATGAGTGTGAATGTCCATGTGTTATGTGTAATGGGTGTGAATGTCCATGTGTTATGTGGAATGAGTGTGAATGTCCATGTGTTATGTGTAATGAGTGTGAATGTCCATGTGTTATGTGTAATGAGTGTGAATGTCCATGTGTTATGTGTAATGAGTGTGAATGTCCATGTGTTATGTGTAATGAGTGTGAATGTCCATGTGTTATGTGTAATGAGTGTGGATGTCCATGTGTTATGTGTAATGGGAGTGTGGATGTCAATGTGTTATGTGTAATGGGTTTGGATGTCCATGTGTGATGTGTAATGGGTGTGGATGTCCATGTGTGATGTGTAATGGGTGTGGATGTCCATGTGTGATGTGTAATGGGTGTGGATGTCCATGTGTTATGTGTAATGGGTGTGGATGTCCTTGTATAATGTATAATAAGTGTGAATGTTCATGTGTTTTGTGGAATGGGGGTTGGTGTGCATTTGTTTTGTGTAATGAGTGTGAATGTCCATGTGTAGTAAGTGTGAATGTACATGTGTTATGTGGAATGAGTGTGACTGTCCTTCTGGTATGTGGAATGAGTGTGAATGTCCATGTGGTATGTGGAATGAGTGTGAATGTCCATGTGGTATGTGGAATGAGTGTGAATTATACATGTGGAATGAGTGTGAATGTACAACTGTCTTTTATCCCTCCTATTCACCATAGTTTCTTGTCATTTGACTCGGTCCTGGCTGTGGGTATTTGTTGTGAGATATGGGAATAGTTGTGTGCATGTGTGTTGTCAGTGTTGGTGTTTGTGGGAGTGTATCTTTGTGTTGCCTAATGTCGGCTGCACCAAATACCAAGTAGGAGTAAATATTGTTGTGCAAGGTAAATGTAAATCACTGTATTATTCACAATTATGCAAACTCATGGGTATCAAATTATAATGTTGTTAAAACATTTCCCCAGGCACTCACGACAAGAATAAACGCAAGAAGAAGTATATTTATGTTCATGCAATATTTCCACACAACAGCCAGACCGTTTTCTTTTCTTTTTGTTTTCTTTTGGGTTATTTAGACTGTCAGTATGCCAGATTAAAAAGGAAGACGTCATGACACAATTGTATTGCTTTTGAAACATGGGTGAAATATAAGGTAACAATTGCCAAATGATTTCAATATTATAAATAGGTATTGATACTAAATTTACGACAAAATGAAAGCAAGTGTTCAAAATATATATATTTCAAATGTATTGCATATATTTCCCTGTTGTTATATAATCTGGACAGGAAACATCCATGGTCCAGATATCATGATCATCTGTAGAAGGTGAACCTATAATGTTTTTAAACTGTTTTCTGCAACACACTTAGAGTGCCATGTTTTCTCCGTCAGCATGATGAACTGTTCCACCCATTTGAAGTCTATCTTTGACGACTACTTCATCGAAGTAGAGGTGACCAACATGAGCACGCCCCACCCCGAGGACACAGACTGCACCAGAGACTACGTGGAAATCTTTGATGGTAAGAATGACAGCTAAGATGATACCACAGTGAAATAACAAGAAACGGGAATAGGGTAGTATCCACCTAAAGAATTGTTAGCTTGTTTGGCATTTGTTCCTCTCATGACATTAGGTTTATTACTACTTGTGCCATATTCTTCTTTCCATATCCCAGATTTACTGAAGGGTGTCCACGATATGAATGCTATAGACTACTCAACTGTAAACTGGTGTATGCAAGTTGTTTGTTGTTTAACTCCCGTGTTAACTGACAGTGCACAGAAAAAATAACTTAGCCATCGAAAAATGATTGGTTGTGACGATTGGTCGTAGAGAGAGCGAATTGGGGTTGAAACATCAAGAAATGTGTCTTTCATGTCATGCCCTGGCAAGTATTTGAAAGGCCAAACATTACGATAGTTGTTTGTTGTTTTGTCAGCAAGTTTCCAGCGTTATGACGGCAGTTCGTAAACAATCGAATCTGGACCACACAATCAAGTGACTGCCATTAAGGATACATCTACACAAGTTTAGCCCGCATCCTCACGGGTAGAAAATGTTCTCGTGTTGAAGTATGACAAACATATTATTAAACGCTGTACTTAGTATGTACTTGAATGACCAGACGAAAGCAATTCACTTTATTAATGGGGCGGTAGGATAGCACAGTGGTTAAAGCGTTCGCTCATCACTCGGAAGACCTGGGTTCTATTCCCCACATGGGTACAATGTGTGAAGCCCATTTCTGGTGTCCCTCGCCGTGATATAATGGAATATTGTTAAAAGCGGATTAAAACTAAACTCACTCACTATATTAATCCGAGCAAGGGACATTAACATTATCATATATATACTCTTAAAAAAAACAGAAACTTGACATGCTGTTTTGGAGTTTACTTACTGAGTCCATATAACTGATTCAAACATGACATCATTGCTCAGTTACAGTAAAATCATCACTTTCCAAAACATGATTATTCAGAAAGTGTTTGGTAAAAGTACAGAGGGCTATTAAAGCCACTTGGTCAGAGTAAAATGTCAGTATCTGGTGTGACCACCATGAGCATCGATAACAACTTGGCAGCGGTGACCCACAGAAGAAAGGAGATGCCGAATGCTGTCTTAAAGAATGTTTTGATACACTTGCTGAAGTGCTGTGTGCAGTTCTTGTATTGTCTGACGTGGCGGATTACGCTGGCGCAAGCTTCGTTCTAGAGTATCCCATAGATGTTCGATGGGGGACAAATCCGGTGATCGAGAAGGCCAAGGTAACAGCTGAACATTGTTTTGCTGGAGAAAGACCGGACGAACACTTGCAAAGTGAGGTCGAGTATGGTCATGCTTCAAAGATCACGTTGATGTAGGGAACGACGTGACGTTGATCTGGTCTTCTGGTAAAAAATCTGTCTTTCCATAGCCAATTGCGCTCTGTCTGGTCGGAGATTCGGAGCAGTCCTGGGATTTGGACTGTTTTGGATGATGCGGCCATGGTGTTTGAACTAAAATGTCTCAACCGGATGTAGCGATCCTGGGCGGAGGTGGTAACTCCAGGTCGACCTTACCTGGGTCTTTCATTAAAACTTCCAGTATTTTTTGAATGGGGTCCATAGGTTTAAGATGGTCTGTCTGGACACGCCTGAAGTGCCTTGCCACATCATGCTGCGATGGCGTTGTGTCGTTGAGCTTCTGTCAGTGTTTTCATTCTCTTGTCTATAGTGGCTTAAAGCAATGCATGTGGAGTTCCATTGATGTGGCTTTTTAAAGCCTACAGTCATAGGCTTCAGCTCAGGGTGATACACAATTTCATGATGCTCGTGCATTTCAGGCAGTGTGCGTTTTAGCGATTCACTACAGACGTATGTGTAACGTTACGTTTTCGTTTAACGTTTCTTTTTTCAAACGTTGTGTCGTCGGCAACCATTCCCCCACATGCTGGGATTCAGTATGGATTGGTTTTTGTCACATATTTTTCTAAAATTCAAATTTGTCCTATGTCAAGTTTCTGTTTTTGAAGGGTATATTTACAGTAGTTTAAGTGCGTCTACAATAATGTAGCTTTGTGTCTCAATACCATTTCTGTTCTTGGAAAGAACTGATTCTATAACTACTTGTCCCAAAACACTGCTGTAAATATGTTATTCAGGTTCGAGTCCTAATGACCCAAGTTTGGGCCGAGCCTGTGGCAAGTCGTTGTTGAAAGCCAAGTCAACAGGAAATGAAGTATTCATCATGTTTATCTCTGACGCGAATATCGGCGGCGAAGGATATCAGATCGAATATAAGGCCGACAACGAAGGTACAGTGAATAATCCTAAGTTTACATTTCATAAAGGACAAGTTACTGTATTTCCAGCTTTCCATGTGTTTCCAAGTTTGAGGACGTTGCCAACAGAACGTTTGAGATTCCTGAGTATGAAAAACAATTTGTGATAATAATCCTTATTATCTCTATGATATCATATTTATAAAGCCGTATGATATAATAGGATACATAGCTTTTCCACTGAACGAGATGTCCGTCACATGACGGCGAAACTGAAACGTCGCAAGGTCCGACGTTCATACAGTTTGGCCATCAATCTATGAAGGTTAACATTCTCAAGAATCGCACATTTCTCTTCTTTTCTGTTGTGTTCTATCATAAATTAACCAGACTTATTATTAACCAGTTATGTAATTTGTAATCATGTAATGTGTGTACATTTTCAGAGACGCCATATTCACCACCTGTTGCCCTCATAGTTGGCCTCACGCTCGGCTGTGGTTCCATTATAGTGGCCTACATCGTGTACCTAGTTTTGAAAAGGAGAAAGGGCAGTGCCCCTATTTGAACAGTACTTCACATCACGGCATGTCTGCTTGACATGGGAGGAAATGCCGACGTGTGGCATTTCTATATGTTTGGTCATTGTCAAAGCCTCAAAATATTGTCAATAAGCATCAGGTGCGTACCGTGCTCCTCCTGAGGCACATTTCACGAACACGTGCAAAAACAAGTGAAGGGAACCCACGGGCACCCACACTGTCGCAAACAGAAACACGTGACATGGCGAATTTAACTAAATAGGAAGCAATCACTGCAATTTAGCGTTAATGAAAGTTGTGAGTCAAATATATATACTACAAATATATATAGTACACTACCACTACTGGCAGAAGAGCATCCCTTACCAGTGACGAACCCAGTTAAGGGACATCGCCAGTTGTATATGGTGAACATATTTAGCTTAGATAAGCAATAGTTTCCGTTCATATTGAGTCCAGTATGGCCAGCTTTAGATATAAAACGTCATTTATATATAATTTATAATCATTTGCGGTAAAGTTGGGTAAAGTGTCACGTAATTATACGATTTATAATGGCGTTGGTTGACGTTGAATAATAAAGTTAAACTAAAGTTAAATATAGAATGTCAGTGGAAAAGAATACCCAGTGTTTACTATCTTCAGAAAGAAATTCTGTTTGGTGAAAGTGAAAGAAAAATAGCTGTGAAAATGTATGAATCGATCACTGAAAATCGGTGATGACACCGTCGTTAAAGGGCAATGCTGCAAGGAGCGTAAACATGAATCGTGTGTTAGAAACAAATGAACATAATTGTCTACAACAGATAAATGTTTCTGTGATTCGTTACAATTGAACAGTGACCTTAAAGACGCCTTCGTTCCACAAATCAGGTTATATATTGTAACATTCTTCAGGATTTTTGTATTTTATTTTGAACAAACATTTCACAGACCGAACTTACACGTATACCTATTTGCGGATATTATTGCCTTGCATTTATTGGACAGATGTATATACACTCTCCACATACAATACCTGCTGATATAGATCTCACAACGTTGTAGAGGCGTGACATCCCTGCATTGTTGTCAACATGCCAGCAGTAAAGGGAAGCAATCGAGCGATAATACCAAGCGCTGTGTAATTCTAAAACTCGGCGTTGTGTTAACTTGTTGTAACACGAGTGTCCTGTGAATAAGGGGGTTCATCTGCCACGTGTTCAGATCACGTGTTACTATAGTTCTTTAAGCCTTTGGTTTCGCTCGATGGCTTCCTGTCAGTCACACTGTGATAGTAAAACCGAAATTTTATTATTTTGTTTCCTGTCGTCCTGAGGACATTTGAATATTTTGATCACAAAAAGATTATATTGTTTGAACCAGGGCACACTGATGTTTTTGCCCAGTTTTAAATGTTTTTATTTCGTTTCACACTGTCTACTTTTGAGTCAAACTGGGATAGTAAAGACGATATCTGTTTCCACTCATCTTCAGGAATTTGAACATTTTCACCACTCAGAGATTGTTTTGTTTGGACCAGAGCATACTAATGTTTGTTTGTTTTGCCTGGTTTAAAGTTCCTTTGATATCATTCGTGGGAAGCATGTTAAAATTTAAGATTGTTTCATTTATCTTTTTTGCATTTAATTGTGTTAATGCTATGTCCAATGTTTACATTCCCAAATCTCAATTAGATAATGTATAGTGTAGTACGTGATACCCACCAGGAAGGTTTTAACACATATCCACTTATGACGTCAGTTCGAATCTGAATGTGTTTCATATTACGTCTCTGACCGAAAATCCGGCTTCTGTAGATTCCGAGACCATCCTTTACTATTCACCTCGCCAGTAATCTGCCAGATATATTGCCTCTCTATCCTTTTGATATGCGAAAAAACACTGAACAAAAACAATATAAAACAGGCCAATATGTATTTTAATCTCCGTATTTTAACATGCGTGTTGAGGTGTGCGTTTCATATTAAATACAGCTTAGTGACATTCACAAGTGTTGAACCGTATATGTGCTAAATATATACTTGCAATCAATTCAATGTAGATTCCAAAGCAGAAAGGTGCTAAGTGTACAAGGTGTAAGAGCTGGCTCAAATGGGAATCGGGTGGCCAGGGTCTGTAACATGTATCCGGTGATGTTGGGCATTTCACATGTTAACTGGTTCGGTGAACTTATGACCCTGTTATGAATATTTTGTATAATTTATTGTTGTCTTCTTCCACCGGTGCAACTTCTTACGTGCGTGTACAAAACATTAAATAACCCACTGTAAACTAATAGACCTTGCAGCGCTTTCTTCGAAACAAACTTAAGCTTTTACTCAAATTTCAAACTGAGTTTGAAAATTCGAAACAGATGAAGTTTTAACTCAGCTGCATTATTAAAATACAAAAACCCCAAACAACTTAACTATTCTATTCCCCAAACTCAAATTGTCTACTATGTTTGAGTTTAATATTGATTTCAGTTCATTCTGGGAAATGGTTTTCTCAAATTTGAGTAAAAACTCTAACTTAAGTCAAAACTCAGACTTAAGTTTGTTTCGAGAAATCGGGGCCTTGGCTTGGAGCATTTTATCCCCCAGACAACTGGTTTAGCTCAGGTTTTATGGTATGTAGGTGAAACCTTTTAATCCACATGACATTTAAAGGAAAAATGCAATTTCTCACACTGTTGGCCCGTCGCGCAGGGAGGTAATAAACGTAGAGAACGCTGTCGTTGTTTTAAGCAGGACTATATTGTTGCGGAATATATGTCACCCGCCCTATGAGCCCAGTGAGGCTATGTGGCTCAATGTAGACGCGGCACCGCTTCTATTCAAATTGAATTAGGACGATACATGCCCGGAGAGGACAGGGTTTTAACTTAAAGCGGTGTTATTTTACATTGTCCTGTTTAAAATGTTGAGCTACGTTTGCTTATAAATAAGTGCGAAGAATTAACATCAAAAGAATTTTCTCAACCGGTGTGATGTATAGAAAATGACATTTATTTTGTCAGATAAAATTGTATGTCGTCCTAGCGTGGAAACTGCACCGATATTTTAAAACTACGGAAAAAGTTTATTGCTGTTGCTTGCCAGCCTCTTCTTTCTAATGTTTATGGAGAAGCCTATGCATGTACTTATATTATGTAACTTTGTTTGATGAGATGGGGTGAGACTGTAATGAACTTTGTCTGTCTAGAATAGGTGTTGACTATTCTTCACAAGTTGCCTTGTGCTTTGACAACCAGTGTATAGATGGTACATTGTGTATTGTAAACACAGTGAGGTTTGTCCCTGTCTTTCTTTACCTGATATCATCGATTATCTGGTCATGTAAGATGCCACATGTGCCACATACATGATATTATTGCATATATGTCAGGTATCATTAAACGGAAGTTTTCATTTCCTTTAGTTACCGGTGTAATTGAGATTATATTATGTTAACAATATTTTTCTATATCAGAATTAGATACATTTTATGACAGTTTGCCGTTTCATTTACACGTGCCCCGATCAGTGTTTATATAATGGTGGGATTTCTCTCTGCTTGCTCACAGATTTCAGTTTATTAAGTGCTGTTTGTTCTGTACTCCTTTGAAAGATGTTTTGAAAGGCATTCGTCACAAAGCACAATACACACTGTACACAAATATAGAATGTCTACGTATCTGTCGACATATGATGTGACCTATTTCATAGCACATTTGTACAGCACCTACCTCTTCAAGAGTAATCTATAGCTACCCACATCTTCAAGACATCCTTCAACTTCAGTGGTGCTCTACCCACGTCTTTAAGTTCTTTTTGGGGTGTAGGGGTAGCCTATTGTTTAAGGCGTTTGCTCGTCACATTGAAGACCCGGGTTCGATTCGACTTATGGGCACATTGTGTGAACCCATTTCGGGTGTTCCCCGCCGTGATATTGCTGCAATATTGCTTAAAGCGGTGTAAGTTCAGTTTGTACTTTAGTTGATGATTAATGTGTTGAAGGAAGCTATATTTCTCTAAATCACATTCACCAGTCTGTAGCATGTTGAAGGTGTGCGGTAGCTGATCTCATGGCCCAGAATGTGCCTGCACATTTCCTCTAAAGTGCGAGCTTGCCCCAAATTCCTACTTTTATCTATGCGAATTGTGTTCCGTCCAACAGGACATATCCCGACTTGCAAACGCCTCACGACATTTATGATATAAGGGAATATAATATTTAAAGAAATAAGATATACGTTGTTGTCTGGAACCTGTATTTTACTGTTAAAAGGATGAGTAGTTCAAACATCCACTAGATCAGTTCTGATATGATATTGGCATTGTCATGTTGCAGCAGATGATTTATCATTGTTATCTGTTTCACTTGTCGATATTGCTTTTTTTCTTCTGATATGACATAAATGTATTTATAAAGTTATGTATAATTGTTGGAATAAAACACCGGTGAGTGCTTTGGTATTATTTTCCGAATACTGAAAGTATCAAAACAAATAACAAACATTCTCAACCTACACACTTTTATCAAATCTGTTTCAATTCTCTATAATGGTTTTTGTTTTATATACCATTCCTAAAAAAGTAGGGGATATTCCATTTTGCGAGCATACCACTCGCCAATGCCACTGCATATGAGAAACTTAATACATATCCATACAGATGAAACATGTCCAAAGGAATGGAATAAATTGTCACATTTTCCCTTAATTTCTCTTTATCATCTGTTTCCTCCTTGGCTTCATCATTTGCATTTTATCAATCTTGTAAATCCAATATCCCCTACTTTTTTCTAATGGTATAATATGACATGAATGTGTTCATGAACTAACCATGTATAATTGTTGGAACACCATTAAATGCGCATGCATTATTTTCTTAATACAAAATATATCAAAACAAATAAAGGAAACATTCTCCACCTCCGCCCTTTTATCAAATCTGTTTCAGTTCTCTGACATTTTTTCCCAATATGACATGAATGAGTTCATAAACTATCTATGTATAATTGTTGGAATAAAACACCGGTGAGTGCTTTTGTATTATTTTCTGAATACTAAATGTATCAAAACAATTAAAACATTCTCCTCCTTCGCCCTGTTCAGTCTGTTTCAGTTCTCTCACATTGTTTTCCCTAATATGACATAAATGTGTTCATGAATCAGCTATGTGTAATTGTTGGAATAAATACCAGTGAGTGTTGACGTATTATTATCCGAATACTAAATGTATCAAAAAATAATCTCAACTTTCTCTACCTCCGCCCTTTTGTTAATTCTTTTTCAGTTCTCTGATAATTGTTTTCTGTCTAATGAGATATAAATGTGTTCATGCACTAGCGATGTATAGTTATTTAAACAAATACCAGTGAGTGGTGTATATGCAATATTGTCTGAATATCAAATCAAAAGAATAGAATAAAAACGTCTTTTCCACAACCGCTCGTTTGTCCATGCCATCTGTTTTGAAGAATTCTCTGATGTCAATCTCTCGGGTGTCCTGACTATGTTCATGAACTAGCGATGTACAGACACTGGGATAGGTAACGTCGTTTATGCCCATTTGCCTGGATACCAAGAGAATACAAACGTGGTCTTCAACTCGATCGTTTCGTCCAAGTCATCTATTTCAATTCTCTGATACAGTTTTTAAAAACAATGCTGAACTGGATATCCACAGTGTTTTCAATTATAGTTTCTGAATAGGTACTCCAACAAAGCAACAGATAATCTTTTTTCAAACAATCTCCACACAAGTAACATCCAAAAACACATAAAATGTCAATCCTCAAATCCAACAAGGACAAAAAAGAGAAATAAATAAAACAGACAGACAGATGTATTCAATAAAGAGGCCTAGCTTGGGCCCATGATACATACTTTCCTGGCGACAACATAAATTTTTTAGTGAGAATATAGCTGCAGAGCAGGCACAGGTATGCAAATTTGTAACAAATGTTATATTATGTGGACAACAAAATGCATTTATAAACCGTTGGTTTCAAATGATGAGCCCTACTGTGTACCAGTGACAACTGAAGGACCAAGTGCTTTGGGTTAATAGTATTGGGTCACAGTTTCCATACGTTATATAAATACAGACATTTACTATGCAGGGTAGAGACATTACAGTGTACCAGTAATAACTGCAAGGCTAAGTGGATATGGATTAATAGTGTTGGCTCTCAGTTTCCATACTTTATATAAATACAAACGCATACTATGCAGGGTAGAGACATCACTGTGTACCAGCAATAACTGTAAGGCTAAGTACTTGTGGGACAGTAGTGTTGGCTCTCAATTTCCATACTTTATATAAATACAAACATATACTATGCGAGGTAGAAACATTGCGTGAAATAAATGAAAGCGACAAAACAAAAAGATCATATCATAGTAGTGTTGGCTCTCAATTTCCATACTTTAAATAAATACAAACATATACTATGCGAGGTAGAAACATTGCGTGAAATAAATGAAAGAGACAAAGCAAATAGATCATATCATAGTAGTGTTGGCTCTCAATTTCCATACTTTAAATAAATACAAACATATACTATGCGAGGTAGAAACATTGCGTG